TGATTGTGCTGGCTTAGTCGAGGTGGCTGCACTTGCCAGCTTGCCTGAACCATATGGTTGACATTGATGATGGGCAGGCTTCTTTTTATGTATTTAGATTTTAGATCTCTTGAGAATTAAGGTTCTAGAATATCTCTCTCTTTTATGAGGATTATCATTTCGCAAGCTTTGAAGATAGTTCAGACTATAAATTTGTTGGGTTATATCCATAAATAGCTCCAAATCTTCAAAAAAAACTGCGTTAAGAACAGTTGAATTAAAATTTCTTGGGGAATTTATATGCATACCACATAATTATTATGTATTAATATATCTAACACCTGAAATTTAAAATTTTCATGCGTAAAGCTTAAGAGTTTAATATTACATCAAAAATATCATTATTGACAACTATTTAAAATTGACAGCACTATTTCATGCATAGGTTTATGACACCAAAGTGTTATAAATGTTACTATAAAGTTTATTTATTAAATATGCAAGTACATAAAAATTGTGGTATGAATCTGAATTTCCCAAAATTTATATAGACCATATTTTGGCCTCCTAAGTTTTCAGCCTTGAGAATTCAAAATGCTTCAACGCTGTACCAAAATCTATGTTTGTGTATTCATAATGTGCAATATTTTTCTTTTGTTTCTTTCATTTTCTGTTGATTCTACTCCGCTAAGCAATGCAAGTTATGCAAATGTAAAGATTCGGGATGATAACACTTTAAAAAAGTAGCAAAGGAAATATCAACTAATCGCCAACTATAGAAATTTGTTTTCTGTTTAGATCTTTTAATCCTATAATTAAACTTCAAACTTGCAATGAAACACATATTAATAATTAATTTATTACGACTTTTTGAGTTGGCTTTATGATCTCCTCAACCTTCACCACAACATAATTTATTAACTATGCTTTGGGCAAGCTTTTTAGTACAACTCCTAACCATATTATCTCATTCATACATTCTTCATATGCCTACCACGTTGATTTTATCAACTATGTATAAGTGCAACTTTTATCCCCTAGTATATATACAATTTAAACCATCTATTTTTTTTTTTTTCTCATTTTCCATCCTCAAGATATTACTCCCTGTGATACCAAAGTTAACTCAAACAGCAATAGGAAAGCAATTAGTATTACTGAAGGTCAAATAGGCGATTATAACTAACACACTGAAAGGAAAATAACAACTACAGATACAGACAAACACAACCAAAATTACATCCAAGGGGTGGTGTTGGTTATAGTTTGGGAAGGTGGCGGCAAGGTAGGGAATGTAGAGCAGCGGGTAGTACATCATTGAAGCAGTAGGTATTAGGTGGGCTGGACAGCAAAGAAACAATGAACAGAAGCGGTTTTGGGTGGCTAGAATAACAACTAGACTATGGGGAAGGGGTTCCAGTTGGTTGGGATAGCATATATGTGGCAGGGAGGCGGTGCAGGAGGGCTGCGACAACGGCTAGATGGCAGAGAAGTGGTTTTGAATGGTTACAACTAAAGCTGCAAAGGGGCATTTCTGGTGGCTGAAAGAGCAGCCAGGCGTCAAGGGAATTGGTTTTCTGGGCGGCTGGAACAACAGCCAAGGGAGGGGAATACTGCTAGAAAGGTGGACCGTAGAAAAACAGCCAAGTAGGGCTGTTTTCAAGTGGATGCAGTAGGTATAGTGAAGGTGGCAGAGAAGAAAAGGATGTTGAAATAGGGAAAGTTGAGGATAGTTACAACCTAAGAACAAGATACAGTCGGAGCAACACTCCCATTGGATACAACCGTAGAAGTAAAAAATCGAAGACGTCCAAAGCTATCCAAACAAAAAACTCACCAAAAACTTAATCCTAGACATGAAAAAAGCACATAAATAGTACTAGGGTAATTAGGAGTGGGCCAACTCTCACAAGCAATAAACCCATGTAAAGAAGGTAGGCTGACCCACAATTTACTGTTCAGAACTGATCCATGTGGCCCAGCAACTCCCACTCCAGCGTCTGGTTCAGAATATTTACTCTTGCGTTAGTGGGAGTCACGCGATTGTTGTCGTATCAATGAAGCCCGCGTCAAACTCTCAAGGTTAAGAGAGCTTCGACCTCATCCGTCGAAGTTTCAGTGTCCTCATAGTATAAAGTCAAGTTGGTCATATTAAAGGTGGCCAAAATATTACCAGTTCACGGTAAATAAATCATGCAGGCGTTATCATTCCAAAGCACATCCTAGTAGAATAAATATTTACACTCTTTTGGCACAAACTGAGCTGGATCTATATATAAATGTAGATTCTAACAAAGTAACCGTCGAACCTTTAAATTTGTAATGTGCTTCTCCCAGCCCTCATTATCGGTTGGGCGTATCTATAAAACAAGTATGTCAAAAGGAATTACGTCTAGAACAAAATCTACGGCAGGCTGAACCACACTGAAGTGTAACGACTCAGGAGAAGCCTTTTCTTCTTCTCTTGTAGGTGCTAGATCCCATTATAAGATTTTCTCTCCCACCAAGCTTTTAAGGTAACGCTGTGCTTCATCCCTCCTGTCTGGACATATGTTAGTGGGTATACCGTGGAACTGCATTTTATAACTGAATAACTCCATCTAGTTTTCCAGAAGTGGCGCCAAAATGGTTTCATCTCTGACATGTTGGGCCTCTCACAATAGGGGCAACTCATGAAGCAAATTATCTATCTGAAAGTTTATAATTCTCCTATGTGGGGTGGTCTTGTGTCGAGCGTCGGTTTTTAGAACTTAGGTCCGTCCTGGACCATTTATGTTAATTCTATTGGAGTGTCTCTCATGGGCTCTCAGCCTTAATTACGTACTTTCTCCCTCATTGGGTACTCCTTTGTCCTCACCTTCTTAAGTGTACCATGTCATTGCTCATTTCTTTAACTTCTCACTAATCAGTGAAAAGAGTATTGTCATCCCACCTAACCGACCATCACCCCCTTGGCATACAACTCTAGAGGCATTTGCGTTGTAACAGTTATTGTTTTCCCTTTCAATGTGTCAATTGTAAATGTCTATTAGATTTTTCAGAAATATTATTTATTTACTTGTTTTTTTGGTTAACTTTGATATCAAAGAGCATAATCCCCAAAATAGTCTACAAAAATTTAGGTGCCAGTGACATGAATTTTACTTGTGAGAATGCAAGTATTGCTCAAAGTGATGAGAAATGGTTGGCAAACGAGAAAGAAGGGGACGCCATCCACAACATAGACCAAGGTCACTAATGCGAAAAGATTTTGATGATTCTTAGAACAATTGAGAAGTAAAGCAAGGAATAGGATTGACCCAGTAGGCTCAAGTTAGCTCAGTGAAGAGATGTGCTAATGCCTTGAAGGGAGATGAGGCAACAACAAACATATAGAGGACTATGTGAGGAGGAGCCTATAGTGAGTAAAGCAAACCTCATGCGTCAAGCGAGGATGCGGAGTGAGAGCATGGAGACATTGCAATTTCTTAAACATTTATCTAGTAAAATTGGTGGCAAACTTAAAAAGAGGCATTTCATTGGTATCAAGAAACTTTTTGTAGTTATTTCTGCATCATATGCTGAATCTATAAACATCAATAAAATTGCCTAGGGAAAAGCATGTGTTTCATTAATTTCAAGTATCTTCATATGAATTTTTATTAGTTTTGAGAAGCTATCTAGTGCCATGAGAATTGATTTAATATTTATTAAGGAAAAAAGAGTGACAATTATGTTTATAACATTCCAATACGTGTGATAGAGCTTAACAAGCATTAGAAGAAATGCATTGAAAGAGTTTCAATCATTGTAAGATTACAAACAGATCAAATAATTAAGTCTGTATCATTTTGTATTGGTTATAAGGTTGCTCAAAGGATCAAGGGCAGGTGTTTTGGTATATGCTATTTATCAATAACAAGCCACAATCAGTGAATCATCTACAAAACAATTGGAAAGTCAAAAATCTTGGAGGATAATTTAAATGCAAAGAAATTGGGATTAGTACAAAAAACAAGTATAAGACATGCAAATTCCTTGGGTTTGAAATTAGAAGTATCAAGTCAATATTCTTAAGATATCATCACTAGTAGTTGCAATAGGTTTAAGTATCTTAGTTCTATTATAAGAAAAAATGAGGATATAAAAAAGAACTTCTACAGTTAAAATTAGGTGATTAAAATGGAAAAATATTTACGTATCATGCAAAAAATATAGCACGAACACTTGCAAGTTTATTTTACAGAATGCAAAAATCTCAGAATAAGAAAGAATTGGGCAATAAAAAGTTAAAATGTCAGGAATGGATATCCAGAAAAAATGTGAAAGATGGACTGAGAAAGTAGCCCTTAATGAAACTTTAGACAATAAATAGCATAAAATTAGAAGGATTACAAAAAAAAGAGGTATTTGTTGTAAAATGATAACAAAAAAAATGGAGCACTTCAAACAATACTCAAAATGAATGAATTGAGAATGTAAATCCGGAAACTTACCAAAAGTGCCAGTATAAGGTTAATGATGTAATGATAAAAAATTTCTTCCTATCAGACCATGTAATTAAAAAAACCATCAATGGCTGTGCTGGCTTGCTGTAAGAAAATTTATAGAATGTTTTTGGCAATTTTGTGAACATGAAACAAAAAATTTAAGTGCTAACAACACTGAGAATCAATGGCATCAACTAAACGGAAAAAACTTCAATTGGCCTTTTAATAGGACCTTTTTTTTCCCAGTCCCAAACACCATAAAGAAATATAAATAGAATAGCAGACAATTGTTGGATAACACGGCAATTGGAGCCAGTGTCAAAAAATTTCATCAGGAATGGATCAACTGCATGATATATACAGAAAAACTTTTGCAAGTCTGTACGAAAGTGGATTTTTAAACTGCTTTTCCACCTAAAAAAATTAAAATCAAGGCATGTTAGTCATTTGAGCCTAAATTTTTTCAATGTAATACCTTCTTCCGACTCCGACCCCACATAGTGGGTTAAAGGCTTCTTGTTGTTGTAGTTCTAATATCTTCTTCTTGCAATATCAAAACAAGTTTAATGTCAGGTCTACAAGTGTTGCAACGGTGACCCTATCATCAGTCACGAGCTCTTTCACATAGCTGGCATAAAGCCATGTCCACTGCACAGTTCAGAGAACATTATGCCTCAAAGTCTCTTCTCAATATCATGAGGCCAGATATTCAACTGAATCAAGCCCACCGTACTGTTAAAAGTTAGAAGATGCATCTTCAGGAATTCATCCATCACTTATCTGTCATACCCTATTAGTAGTTACCACATGATTTTTATTCTATCATTGACATATGCATCCAAACTAACCTATATCAGCAGTGGTAACAGGTGTATGTATAGCTTCTGGTTGATTATGCTGGTTGTCTACCTCTTAGTCTAAGCATCCATGCCTTCACTCTCACATTTTGTTTACCTCAGTCTTAGCAGCCTAGCATGTAATAGGCATTAAGAGTTACAAAGTCTGGATGGTAACACATGACATCCGCTAGCTTTCTACATCCCCAAATACTAAATGGAACCAAGCATTATTAAAAGGGACTCCAAATCTTAAATAAGTATAAATAGCATAGCATCCAAAGTGCATCGAGGACGGAAAAGCAGTGGTGAAATGATATCATAAGCATGTATAAGCTATATAAGCTTTTTGTATCTACAGAACAGTCTCACCTCCAAGGCCTTCTCTTCATCATAAATAAATTTTGGTAACTTCCTCATCAAATCCTTCCTGTCAGCTCCAGTAATAACTTTGCTAATCTGAAATGACAATGAATCCGTGCAGAAATTAAACAGCAATTTAAGCAAGACTACAAATATATAAAAAGTCAAGACAAAGGTTCAACCACCTCAGGAGCAAATACACAGCCAAGAGTTCCAACAATTAGTCCTCCCAAAACAAAGCCCCCAATGAAGACACCTGCACTGTTTGCTCTTTCATCCCTGAGGACGTTAGGAAAGAATAAAGTAGCTAAGAATAGACTGGCAATCTACTGTAAACAGTCTGGAAAGACCTAAAAGTTTATCGCACAAATAGGAGAAATAACAAGTTGAAAATTAATAGATAAGAAGATATATATGAACTTCATTCAATAAAATTTGAAATTTAAGAACTTTATTAACATTTAGATCTCCAAATAATACACTGCAACCAAATATATTGCAAAATGGATTTGATTAAACTAGTCCTACTATAAAATAAATGGGAAGCATAAATATTTTCTCCAACTTAGGCCATAGGTGATTCAAAAAATCAATAATATCCTCAAGTTTGAGCGGGGAGAATTGCATTGAAGGGCCTAAAACCTTATTATCAATGGCCATAAGTATGCAACCGTACAAATAGGGTCAGAATAAACATGAACCTTTATAAATTAGAGCGATGAACTGTGTAAGAAACCTTAGTCTTCAGGGAAGACTTGGTTATAAAATTATGCAAGAAAAGCAACACGAGGTGTGTTTTAAAACAGTTCTGTTTGGCGCAGCTGCAGCTTCTCAGCTTTTCAGCTTCAACTGCGCTGCCCCAAGAAGCTGTTGCAAGAAAGCTGACCGTCTGTTTATTGCAGCTATGGGGCAGCTGTTTCTGGAAAAATGACCGTCTGCCCCTATTTAATAATTTTTTTTTAACAAAAATGTGACACCAGTATAATTGATATTTTCATAATTATTTCACAAGAACATCAATAGACTTTGACCGGACAAAGAAAAGTAACAGACCAAAAAAAAACCCAATATAAAATAATTTCAACGGGTACCAAGATGCATATTCAGGCAAAGCAACAATATAAAGACCAAATAATCATTCTTATAAGCAGTTAATAACCAACCAACATTTTTGAAGGTCAAATTTCAATGCACCAGCAACCCAAAATTTTCAACGTTTTCAAAATTAGATACCCAGGTTCCGAACATTTATGTTATAGGAATTCATCCTTCACTTTCAATTAATTTCCTCATAAATTGCATATTTTTAATGAGCAAAGGTTCATTAGGGAGAAACTTTTAAATTACAAAAGACTAAAGGAGCATTTGCACACATACCACCCAACTCTTATGTATTAACATATTTAACACCTAAATTTTAACTTTTACATTTATAACACCCAAATCTTTCAATAGCAAATCAACAAAAAAAAAACCACTATTTCAACTTTAAGAAAATAAAATACACAATTCCATGCATATGTAAGGTAGTATGTATGTAAATATAAATTAAAATCAGAAAATATGCACACAAATATTGAAAAATTAGAAAATCAGCACATATATAATCCAATAAAGGTATCACACATGCAGACACATGATAAAATCAGGAAAATCTGCAACTTTACACATTCGTTCAAAATTATTGAGCTCCTCCCATGTGATTTTCAGTTTTGTGAAGTAATATTAAAAGAATTTTGACAAGAATTGTGGAAAGCAAAATTGCACTAGATGAAACCTAGCCACCTGCAGGAATCAAATAAACATCCTATGGCAAATTTCACAAACCATGAGTTGGAATCAAATCATTTTTTTCTGATCATAAACATCACTTAAAACACTTAACCTAAGGCAAATCAATAGGAAAAGAAAGAATCGGAATCGATCGAGATCTTTCTAGAAACAGAAAAGAAAGATGAAACATAAAGAATGGATCAAATCAACCTTAAAGGGGGCTTGCTTAAGAATAAGAAAGAGGAATCTTCTGGAAATATCATGGAATAAGGTTTGATCCTATTCATGGGGATTCCGTAGATATTCAATTCCAAAAAGAGAAAGTTCGACATAATTGGGATTTTTTCGTAGATTGGATGCAGTGACTAATTAATGATCTGGCATGTACATAATGAAAACTTCATTCTCGATTCTACGAGAATTTTTATGAAAGCATTTCATTTTCCCAGAACGTATCAGAATTTTTGGCTTCTTCTGATGATTGATTCAACCTCTGATAAAAAAGATAGACCTTGGTTCTCTTTCATCTCTTCAACAAGTTGAGTAATGAGCATAACGACCCTCTTTCTCCGATGGAATGAGCTTTTCGGTCAATTTCCAAACAAAAATTTAAACGCCACTAAATTTTTCAATCTCTTCTTTGACTATATTCAACTCTATGTATTCCTCTATCCGTAGAGTACATTGAATGTACA